AGTGGAGAGCAAATGTTTTGAGAATGATGAGGGCAATGAATATACAAATGTGCTTTACACAATTGATGTATGTATGGATTGTGAGCCCCTAATAACATGATTTTTTAAAAAAACCAGAACAAATTAAAATGAATCATAAGGGAGATCAAACAATAGGGTGCTAAGTTGCATTCACAACAATCCACTTTAATGCATTCTGCATGTTAGCAAGGCTATTCATATCCCTGATATCCATGATCAGAGGAGATTCACTAGGGGCTTAATCCTCACGTATTTCCCTTTCACTTGTTTTTGTTTTTCAACTACAACATCTTTAAAATGGGTCAAAATGATATCAAATTATAAGATATTACATGTTAACCTGAGTACTGGGCTAGAATTAAGTGCAAGCCCCAAATCCATTCATAAACCTGTCATTTATATATGTCTCTGGTTCACCTTAGAAACATCATTATCATTTTATGCTAGAAAACATCTATCATCTCCTTAGGGCATCACTTCCACTGCCATCAAGTTAATGTTGACTCAGAGGGACCCCATAGGGCAGGACAGAAGTGCCTCTGTCAGTCTGCAAGCCTGTAAATCTACACAAGAGAAGAAAGCCTTATCCTTCCCCAGCAGAGCTGGCTGGTGGTTTTGAACTGCTGACCTTGCGGTTAGCAGCCCAGTGCATAACCGTTATGCATTGATATTGTCATTAGTTTAGCCGGTGGTATAGAATTTAAAACACTGTCAAGAAAAGGAACTTATAGGAGTGTATGCCAGCTATGGACCACAATACATGAGTTGTTGACTTAAATGGCTGGATGGTATTCACACAGACAATGGGGGTTGGTGATAGGGCAAATCTCCCAATAATATTCATTCATAGCAACAGTGCCATGCCTACGAGGTGACTAGATGCCATAAGGAAGCAAGGAGGACATTAAAATAGTAAGTATATGATAATTCTGTGCCACCATTCTTTGGGAACCTTTAAAGCATGACATTTGAGCCAAAGTCCAGCGCCTTCCTTTTCTATGCCCTTTGCTGGTAGTCTGCTGCTTCTCACACTAGGGCAGCAGTTCTCAACCTTCCTCACGCCGCCACCCTCAAGTTATGGTGACCCCAACCATAAAATTATTTTCGTTGCTACTTCATAACTGGAATTTTGCTACTGTTATGTATCAGGTGACCCCTGTGAAATGGTTGTTCGACCCCCAAAAGGGTCGCAACTCACAGGTTGAGAACTGCTGCCCTAGGGAGTTTCAGCCTTAAGTCCAATGGCTACAGGTGAGCTTGAGGTAAAACCCATGTTCCCTTTGTGAAGTTTCCACATCGAGTCCTTGTGGTGTGGCCTATGAAGGATGCTGTATACCTCCAAAGAACAGAGGCTAAAGTCCCAGTAGTGTACAGCACTCAGATTAGGTCACCAAGGGCTGCGTAGAAACTAGACCCAAAGTGTACAGTTAGGACCAGGCATATTCTGCCCTTGGCTTCCACGTAAGTATCGATATGTGTTTTCTCCCAGTGGCAGGTTGCTCCTCCCCGTTTTCCTACAACAGAGATGTAATTGCCTTCTCCCACTCCCCACTTCTTGACTTGAATTTCCAGTAAGGTTTCCTTATCACTCTGGTGGGAGTGTCTGTTGGATTGGGGTGCCCTTCAGACAATTTTGCATGGCAACATCTGAATAGTCTTCCCCCTCTCCCCAGAACTTGCAAAACAGATCCCAGCTGAGCTGAGGTCTCCTCTGCTTTAAGGTGTACATTTAGAGCAGGTGCTGTATGTTTCATGGCTGTGAAACAGACTCTCTACCCCAGTGCGTAGGGGATTGTATTAGAAGAATACATGCCCTGAGAACAGTGGCCTGCCTTCATCTTGGTGTTTAGTGGACCCATGAAGTATTCGTCCTTTGTGATTGGCTCACTGCATTCAATGTCACGGTCTGTCACCTTGCCTGCCAGCCTCGGATTCATTGGCCTCTGCACCTGGCCATGTGGCTCTGCAGGCCTCGCAGCTACAAGAGTCAGAAGAAGCTTCCAGGCTGACATCTAACCCACAGACTTGGAACTTGCCAGCCTTTAGAACCACATGAGCCATTCCTTGTGGTGAATTGCTCTGCATATATCGGCTTCACTGGGTTTGCTTCTCTAGCAAGTCCAGCCTAAAACATGCAACAAACAGACTATGATTAAAATAGCTTTCATTGAGTTCTGTGAGTCCTGCTAGTGAATAATTTTACCCCAGAGTGGTCTTGGGGACCGCTTTATTTTGCAATACTGATGTAGTTATTGTGAGGATTAAGCAATGAGGTATAAATGTTTATATACTGTGCAACAGTAAATAATAGGTTAAATCTGTGCAAAACCCGATAACTGGGATGAACCTGAAGAACATTATGCTGAGTGAAATTAGTCAACACAAAAGGACAAC